ACACATCAAAATATATCTAATGCAAGTACAATTAATTTAATTTTGGCGTCAAAGTATAGCATATTGTCACCTCTGAAATTATCCTAAACAGGGTGTGAATAAAATAAGCGCGGAGTTTGCAGAAGGTGATAAGGCACCATGAAACACGAAAATTAGGTAAATATTTACAGAAACGAATATTCACCGTTTTCGAGAAAAAACGTATTTGAAAGACAAGGGCTAGTACATCCCTGGTAAATCAGATAGACAAATGTAACTACTCAATTCCGCATTAAATCAGCTGGCAATTAACACGGTCATTGCCACCAGGTCAGTATCACTGTTGAACAGATATTGTTATTACTGTGAGTGACGTCATCTCTTCTCATTCAAAAGGGAAGAATGAAAACCGGGAAGTAGGCATACTCGAGCTACCGAATTGCACAGGCATTATACCATTTTTATTGATAAATTATCCATTCGTCCGGATTTACTAAAACTATTATAAAAAATTTTTTGCGAATGGCACATCTTGTGGATGTTAAAAATAAATAATTCAACTAGGGGAAATTATTCAGAAACACTAATGATCAATTACCTTATTATCCTAAACAAATCCGTTGTTAAGTAGGATGCAGTGTTATTTATTCAGCGTTCAGTCAGCATCTTATTATAACTAAATTTAACTAGAAACGTTCGAAATGTGGTGTTACAGCGAATGATGAGGGTACCGTGGATAGAGAAAGTTAGAAATGAAGAGGTATTAGAAAGAGTAGGAGAACATAGGACTCTATGGAAGTCAATAAAAAATAGGCGAGATATGTTGGTAGGACACCTTCTCAGACATGAAGGTCTAGTCAGAGACAGATTAGAAGCAGAAACAGGGGTTAGGAGGGGTAGAGGTAGACCTAGATTAGATTACTGTTGGCAAACAGTTACGGATGTGGGTTGTTCTAGTTTTAGGGAAATGCGAAGATTAACTCAAGAGTGGAGGTACGTGTGCAACCAGTCTTACAACTGACGACCTTATGATGATGATCCTCAAGATGAGTCAATCATAAAAAAAATGTTTTTTCATAAAACAGGAATGGAGCCCCATTAATCTACAATTATCAATAAAAGTATTAACACGCCTGTGCAACTCGGTAGCTCGAGTATGTCTATTTCCTGCTTTAAGTTATAATAATTTAAAACTTATTTGATTCAAATATTCTTTCTTCAAATTAAATAATTAAGGATAATTTTCATTCGTGATAAATAATTTTCTAGAAATTAAAAATTGTATTTTTTTTTCCGTTTCTTTATTGTATTAATACTTCCTTGTTATATTATCATTTTCATCCCTTCTTTCCTGATTTTGTTCTTTTCTAATCTTTTCTCTCTATTATTTTTATGCATTCTTTCAACATTTCAGTATCTTTTTCTTTTATCAATTCGTCATGTGGGTACACCCCGAAAAGTATTCCGAATAAATGAGTCTCGCAAATAGACTCATCTTCTTCTGACTATTGACGTCGTAAATAGACCATAGTCATCTACAGTCTCGCAGGTGGACTGGAAACTTGCATCTCCATATGTTTGCGTCCCGCATGCTACAGTCATATTTCATTAGTCTTATAGATAATTACCAAGTGATTTTTAATTTTATATATTTTTATTATCTGGCATATGTTATATGTTTGTAATGTTAATACTGTTGCGTATTTTATCACCTTTTTGACTACTCTCTGATTTATGTAACAATTTATTCTTTAATTAACACCACTATTATTTATTAATTTCTACCTCACTACTACATTACGCAATTTGTGGCTTTCTTTGATCTTATTTCGCTTTATATTGTCTCGTCGCCACAACTCGAATTAACTCGTCCGCCCTCATGGTAACTACATGCAGGGACTGGAATTGTTCTGGAAAGATCCAAAATATGACATCTAGAAAATCTGATCTTCTTTGTTGTGTGTGTTGGGTTGCCAACACGTGACAATAATAATCCATTGTACGAAATTATTAGTGAATCATTTCAATTCCATTTGTTTCGTAGGTTTACCTAGTGACCCCTCGGTCGATAGTTTAGGCTAACAGTTAGGATTGGACAAAATTAACTAGCAGTTTTATATAATTTAGAATAACATAGTTAGAATTTGTTTAACTATTTTTGGAAAGCTGATGTTTATCAAAATTAATTCTAATAAACTTAAAGGGTGATGAGACGGACCCACTTAGTTACAGACGAACAGCCTTAGCAAACTCAGTCCTTGTTGCAGACGATCTAATCTTCTTAAATTGACCTCCAGGGTTAAGTTAAGTCTTTCAACCATCCCATCAAACTGCGGATGTAAGGGCGTAGTTCTTATATTTCTATTGCCCGTTAGTTCATTGACCATTAAGCCTTCTCGAAGTTCCTGCTTTAATTGGAATGCAATTCTGTTGGTACTTCATAGCTGCTAATACAACTTTTGACAAGCCTTTCGGCAACGCTGTGTGCTTCCTGATTTGGTATTGGGTATGTTCCGGGATATTTACAAAGTAATTTAACTAACCATAGTCTAATGTCAGAAACACCCCACTATCGTACCCCCACTCCCTATATTTTGTTGTTATATTTACGTATTTTTTCTATCTAATAAGCGCATTAAGTTCAATAACTCAGTTTAGTCAATCATTTAATCAGTTCAGTTTATTACTAGTTCATTCGTTGTAGTTTATCATTTATCATTAAGTATTTTTTCGGTGTTATTTTAAGTGTATGTTGTTTATTAAAAAGCTAAAAATCACATAAGTTATTTATTGCTCGTTCTATCATTCCACGAAGACCATAGATAGAAATTATTCGGCCGTTATATCTTAAAATATCGACTAATTAATTTTTATCGAAGAGGGTTTAAGTGTTTCTTAGAAAAAAACTAGGCAAGCAGCACACCCGCAACAATCAACAGTCTATTATTGAGAATGGTCCTGCTACATGGACTGCGACTCTCTCGAAAGACGCTCCCAAATCAATAAAATCGCTGGTGTACCTTTCTTCGTAACTCCAAAATGCTCTTCGTTATGATTGCTTCTAGGATTTCTGAAACTCTGCTCTTCGGAAGTATGTCTTGCGTTTCGTTCTACCTGTTGGAGTTTTAAATCTTTTCGTTGTACAGGGTTAAGTTAATATGTAGGGTGGGCCAGCACATGAGCCGAAACTTTCAACGCTTGTTCTATCCAGGCCCACCCGTAGCTACGTCCCTGATTCCAGTGGCGGGGCAACAACTAAATTTGATGTGGGCAAGACAGATTTCGCGAGGCCCTGTTCTATGGCGACCTGAAGACGGATTTTATAAAATAATAAAAACAAACAAAACAATTAACACTGCCAAGTTTTTATTCATAAAAATACAAATTAGATTAATAAGTATTAAATGAAAAATTACAAATCGTTAATATAAAGGTGGAGATATACATTTCTTAAAGTGTATCTTAAAAAACATTAGATTTCTTTATTAAAGGAACAGAAATTTCCTGCTTTTAACGTTACTAAATTCCTTAATTATGGTATCGTAATTCAGCCTAGATGCCAAATCTGATTCAATTGATAAAACAGCCAAAGCTGAAAGTCTTTCTTGGCTCATTGTGTTTCTCAAATAATTTTTTATTAATTTTAATTTTGAAAAACTTCTTTCAGCAGAGGCTGTACTTACCGGAATTGTTAATAAAATTCGGATGACAATGTAAATATTTGGGTAAATTTCTTTCAAGCTATTTTCTGTTATGTATGACAGCAGCTGTTTCACGTCTTTAATGAAGTTGGGTAAATTCGGGATCATTGTATTTAATTCTTCATATAATTCAAATGGTTGGAAGTCACTGCTCTCACCCACACGCAGGACGTTATGTAAATCGTTACAGTGTTTTAATATTTGCTCCTGTGGCATATTTTTTAGCGCGCTTAAATCATAGAGAAAACCAAAGTCTTCAAAATGTTGATTTAAAGACGTAAATCTTAATTCCATATTGGTTATTATAGAATCAATCATGGCGTAAAAAAAATCTGTTTGATACCGGATTTTGGGAGACTGTATAGGTTCATCGCTGCTTTCATAATCGAACATCCTTTTCTTTTTGGCTACTCTTTTATTCTTAAACTCTTTTGGCAGGTCATAACAGCTTTTCTCAGTAAATTTCCGAACATCAGACGGGGATTTCTCAAATCCAGTTTCCCGATACTCTTTTATCCATTCACAAAATGTGTGTAAATGTTCAAGAGCAATGCTTAAATGAATTTGTACTGATTGCCATAATTTACTTATTATATTAACACGCAATAATATCTCATACCACACATGTAAAGATACGATAAATTCTAAACTTAACATTTCATTTAGTATTGAATCGCAATCACTGAGAGTGTCTGATTCCTCCGTTTGATTTTTTAAGTTTTTTATGCATTCAATCACTTCATCAAATTGCAATAATACGGCCTTTACTGCTTCGACTCTACTTTCCCATCTTGTGTCTGATAAAGGTTTTATAGTAAGTTTTAATTTTCCTTTTATAAAATCCCAGCGCTTGCTTGATCTTGAAAATAGCAAATAAACTTTTTGTATGAAACCAAAAAAAGTTTTTGCTACCATAGATGAGTTCGCTGCATCTACCAATAGTAGATTCCAACTATGACAGCCACAAGGTGTGAAAAATGCCCTAGCGTTAATATTCAATATTCGAGTTTTAACTCCACTATTTACACCTACTATATTTGCACCATTGTCGTATCCCTGGCCACGGCAGTAAAGAAAGTAAACAAATAAACCGGGGATTCCCCGCACTCTGGTCGGCGGCAAATGTTGCCAGACTAAGAAAACATGTTTCACAACAAAATTGATTTATATTTTTTTTGTTTTATTCTCGCTTTAAACATTTTTGAGTCGCGAGGCCCCTTGTACCGCGAGGCCGTAGGCGGTGGCCCACGTCGCCCACGCTTAACGCCGCCTCTGCCTGATTCTATGAGAATATCAAGGAGAAATGGAAATTATATCAAAGGCTTATCATATATATATTTATTGAGTATAGTGTTGATAATAAATAAATAGATAACATACGCAAAGATAAAAACGAAACGGTAAACAGGAATGATTCATTCCCTTATTATTCTTTTTCCAGCCACTCTGGAGTGTGTCTGCCATTGAATATAGATATGCCAAACAATTGCCAAAACACAAGAAGATTCACAATGCTAATGATTTTTACTACAAAGCCAGCTATTATCATTTGCGATGTTGGTAGGTTGGCGTGTCCTGCTACTAGTGCGTTTGGTGGTGTAGCCACCGGCAGCATAAATGCGTAGGAACAACATATACCAACTGGCATTACTAATTGTATCGGATGCCATAACATTTTTTTAGATACTTCAATAGCAATTGGCGTTAATATATTACAAACTGCTACATTTGATGTCAATTCTGTAATCAAACCAGTACTTATGACAAATATAATCTGTCCAGTTAATGGAGTCACTTTTCTCGCAACAGTAGCTAGCTGAAAAATTAGAAAGCAACTGTTTACATAATCAATAATGAGAAATTGGTAAAGGCTTTTGGGGCCAGTAGGTGAACTGATGCCAACTTGATTCGGCTCTAAAGGTCGTCGTCGGTTGGAGTTGCTTTCTAACGTTTCGCTAGCACGAGTGACAAGTTTCTTCAGAGGTCCTTCTATCTATGTCGCTGGATGTGAAAGTGGAGGTCCTTCCATTTCCAACGTTGGATGTGGAATTCTACCTTCACATCCAGCAACGGAGATGGAAGGACCTCTCGAGAAGCTTGCCACTCGTGCTAGAACGTTAGGAAGCAACTTCAACCGACGATGGCCTTTTGAGCCGAACCAGGGCAGCATCAATATAATGAGAAAGAAAAAAAATATATCCTCCATTCATTTACAAGGCAAAAATAGTAACGATTACGATAAAAAGGAAACTTAAAAGTTATGGAAAGAACGTTCAAGAAACAAACGAAAATATTTAGAAGCAGAATTGAATCCAGTGCGACGAATATTTTGCGCAAAACCTATAACAATTTAAGTACATAATGCGTTATTTATCTGTAACAAAAACGTGTAAAGAATAAAACTTGTTAATGGCGTACTTTTTATTATTATTATTTTCGTAACTATTTGAACGATTGATAGCTGGAAAAACAAATGGAACCAATTGACGATAATAACTATTATAAGTGTAAATGAGTCTTTTAAAGAAGAATTCAAACATCTACAAAAGGTAGTGGCAGTTTGTCCGTAAGAACCCGCAGAACACCAAAATAATAATAATGTTATCTTCTGGTATTGAGTTGCAATATTAGTTTTTGTGGTAGTAGTTATAAAAAGATTGGGAATTTTGCAATAACGGTGTTTATTGTAGAGCAGATGTTAACTTATAGTTAATTTTAATATGCTGTTAACGCCTTAATGAGTTATAATCATGAAAACGAAATAGGCACTGAATGACAATAAGTCGAAAATGTAGCAGTTAACAGGCTTTGAAGTCAATAAACAAAAAAAATAAAAGGATAGCAAGCAAGTGATTTTTAAAAATTAATAAAAGTATTTTTGATTAAATGGTTACATGCTCCCCGATTGCATCTGAAAGTCCGCTTCTACTCATGCCCATCTCGAGTGCAAATCCGCCTCCTAAGAGGAATACCATACCCCATCTCACCCTTTCGTGAACTACTCTCCACGTCAATAGAGCTGGTGCCGGCTTTTTTGGTCGATTTTCTACATCTTTATCCCAACAATGAAGAAATAACATTTGAGCTGGTATTACAAAGTACATGATAACTATAAATGATATAGTTACGGAATCTTTTATCTGCAACAATTTAAAATGCAGAATACACAATATAATCAAAAACTATTTAGAAATGTCGGCTTATTATAAAATCCTAACAAACATTTTTCAATTTTATTGTAACAGAAAGATTTTAATTTATTGTTTATGATTAAATAGTAAAGTATTCATACATTTATCAAAAACGTATGGAAATAGAAGTAATAAGAGCAAAAATAAATTTATAATGTTAGGAAGAAAAACTTATATCGCTTTTAAATGTTACACATACTTGTTCCTGAGGATTAACAGAGTGAAGGAATAACTCGAATCATCGTACGCTGGACTATATAGGGTGATTGAAAATATTAATGGCAGAGTATTCAAATTAAGGCAAATTGGATAGAAAAGTAAATGTATATAGAGAGCATACTCCCTGAAAATAAAACCAAAAATGGCACCACTGCCTAAACTTAAGCTGATGCTCCTGAATATGAAGATGTCTCGCATCAATTAAATATTAGTAAACTTTACATAAAGGTCTTAAACGAAACGAAAGTAGGAAACCCTGGATAACAAATGAGATTTCAGGATTAATAGAAGAAAGGCGGAAATACAAAAACAGGACAGACGAAGGACAAAAAAGATACAAAGCTATAAAGTGGGAAATAATTAGGAAGTGTAGGGCAGCTAAGGAACAGTGGATTGATAGGTGTGTAAAGTAGTAGAAGAAAAGTTTGATGTAGGTAAAACAGATGAGGCGTATAATTAAAAGGAATTTTAGAGAAGTTGGGTACAGTAGTAATAATATAGGAAACGAAGCAGGGGTCATTTTGATAGAAAATGAGGAAAATGCAGATAGGTGGAAAGAATATTTAGAGAACCTATCCGCAGGCCCTGAATTTGGAGATATATTAGAGATGGAAGATAGTGTGGAGATAGGTGAGCTAGGTTATCCCATAATGACAGAGGGGTTCGATGTACCATTAAAAAAACATAAAGAATAATAAGGCGGCAGGGGTAGATGGGATACAGGGGGAAATTCTAAAACATACAGGACAATAGGTTAGAAATCGTATGTTTAATCTAGTTAGTCACATTTACAAAACAGGGAAAGTTTCTTGAGGATTATAAACGGAACGTGGTAGTAATCATACCTAAAAAGAGGGGCGCGAATAGGTGCAAGACTTTTAGGACAATTAGCTTAACTTCCCATGCTTCAAAAATCATAACTGGGATTGTACAAAGTAGGATGGAAAAAAGGACGGGAGAACTATTAAGGTAAGACCAATTTAGAAGGAAACGCTGAAAACTTTAGAATGCCATAGCTAGGATGAGTATCATAGATCATGCGAAAAGCAGAAAGTAGCGAAAGCAGAGGGTTGTAGAGGCCAAGTAATGATACTATCCTACATTTCAGAAGCATGAACAGTAGAAAGGTATAATTTTTGTAAACTTATGATGATGAGTGGTATCATTCTGTGGTCGGTATTACACCACTTTCCCCTAATATAAGTAGTAGATTTACATCATAATTACAGACACATTCAATTTGTCAGAATAATTATTATTTAAGGAAGAATATATAGAGCAGGGCTGGCCCTTAGCGCTCCTTTGTTCCGGAGGCATATTTACAGATATTAGCGTGTGTTGACAACAGGGTGTTGAAATCAGTGTAGTTTTCGGGAAGCAGCACATGTGGACAGATTTGAACACCAAAGTGCTAAAACAATGTTGAAACTGGTGATGTTTTGTAATAGGTATAAGTACATTTACAGATGGTAATGCATGCTGACACTATGGTGCTTAATTCTGCAAACGTTTGTCACATAGCAAAGATTCAACATTCATAATTATTCATATCAACTTCTCTAGTATCAACATACGCTAGTATCTGTAAATATGCGTCCCGAAGCTCTATTATTATTTGATTTAGGTTGCTTTATACTTCTGGGCGGAAACACAGAAGACAAAAAGTTAAAAATATAAGAAAAACTTACGTTCCTCTTATTGGGAAATATATCGTACCACCCAGGTATAAAACTCAAATCCGAAAATATAAAAAGAAGAACCATGATTATAAATAAAATTAGTATCATAATTTCTTGGAAGCTCATTTTTCCTAAGGATAGGACTTTCTGCCTTATAGTTTCTCTTGTGGTGCTTTCATTATCTTTTGCCTTTTGAACCAACTGTGATATCTCGCTCTTTGGACGAAATAAACCTAGGAAATAAATTTCCAACCAAAACCAACACAAGATCGTATTGAAAAACATCGGGACAATATTGAACGCTCCAAATTTCGCAAACGTGATTTCATCTTTAGGAAAGGCTTCTTCGTAAAGTCCTGAAAATTAAAAGGTATAAAATTATTAAACTAAAAATAGTTCAGTTGGTGTTCAATTAGCGAAAATTAATTGTGAAAAATTGTTAATAACAACACGTGCTGCACCTTTTTATTATAAACACATTAAAAGAACACTTTGTCGAACAGAAACTTAACTTCAACGCGACTGGAAATTAGATGCGGATCAGATTTTCTGTAATACGGGCATCTGATCAGTTTCTGATGAGAGTACAGTACTCTATCCGTTGATCCACCGATCTGATCAGCGCATAGTACTCTATTTGTTGATCCAACCATCTGATCAGAAATTGATCAAAGTAGAGTATCCTATCCCTTAATCCAGTCATCTGACCAATTTCTTATCACAATCTAATGCTACAAATTCTATTACGGTTTCGGTACAATGTTTAAATCAAGATTGTATCCGATGTTCTGAACTGGATCATAATACAGAACTTTATTTTTTACCTGATTTATTCTGTATGCAATATTGTTCGTCAAACAATGAACAAAT